TATACTCAGACTATAACTCTAGCTGGAATAACAATGATACTTTAAGTAAAAGCTCGTCATCATTCATTCAGCATTTATTTACTGAGCCCCTATTATGCACCAAGCATCATACTCCATTAGCCAGAAAACTCTATTAACTGGCATCTGTGCTTATTGGTAAAATTGATGTCCATAATACCCTAAAGGGTCCACAAACCAGCACACAAATCTGGTCTGCTGCCTATTTTTGTAAATAAAGTTTTGTTAAACAATGCCATACCCATTCATCTATGTACTGTCTATGGCTGTTTGGGGGCTACAAGGGGAGAGTTGAGTATTTACAACAGAGACCATATAGCTCACAAAGCCTAAATTATTTACTATCTGGCCCTTTACATAATAGGTCACTGACTGACCAATATAAAATACCAATATGTCACTGGAGTCTCAAAACACTACACATGATATATTTTTAATAGTGGCAACACCTAACATGTAGTAAATAATTTTGTTATTCTTTGAAATTACCAATCCAATATCTTTGGAAATTACCAATCCAATATCAACCACCAATAGCTGTGTGACCTTGGAAAACTCACATCCATATCCAATATGTGGTAACATTCCACTCCTTGTAGCATATTCCCATAACCAATCATTTCAGAAAACAGCATTAACATACTTCAACTGATAAAAACTAGTGTTTTCCAGAAGTCATGAAACCTTGATAATCTTTAATCCCAGCTAGCTCCTCACAAGGTAACAGTTTCAGAGTGAACAGTCTCATTATTTTCAAAGTCCGTCCTCACATAGAAGTTAATTCTGTGAACAGATCTCTAGTTCCACTATATATCTAGTTTTGCTATGTATCTTGAGGTTTCCTACCAATAATTCAAGCATAAATAGAAGCTAGTTTTATTCCTGATTAAGAAAGACTGTTTCAAACATACTTCCTGAAGATGCTCAGCATTTTGTGGGGCTTTGCTGGCTGTACATAATCCTGGACTAGTGCCTTCAAGGAAAAATATAGACTCTAGATTTCTTCCCTGGGTAGAATCAAAGAGCCCACATCTACAAGGAAATACTTTATTTCAGTCCAACTGCAATATGTCCTCAAAATACCTCTTTAAAAATATTTTTAACCCACAAGCTTTAGAATTTAAACAAATTAAAGAATGTGGGATCAGACAAGACTTCAGAGATCACTAAATCCAAATATCTTAACTTACAGATGAGAAAGATGAGGCTTACATGATTTACCAAAGGGCCAACTAGTTTTCATTAATTTATGTTGGCCTCAAATCAGAAAGTTATACTGACGTTCTATTTATAATCCAGGCAGTGTGCTGGGGGCCAAGATTATATATGAGTCTTAGTAAATAATGAATTCATTTAATCTAAATCAGTGAGATTTTTTGCAATGAAACAGACACATCAGGAGAATCAGATAAAATTCCTTAATATAAACTGTTAAACACCTTACTTTTCCTACAAAGAGAACTCTTTTCCTTTAGGGAGGCAGTTCAGTGTATACGTTAAGTATACTGGCTCTGGAGGTAGGCTACGCATTTTAGACTCCTGATGTTGACTCTTTCTGGCTGTATAACCCTTCAGCAATTTACTTAAAAGCTCCGTGTTTGTTTCCTAATCTTTAAGGGGATAATCAAATTCTGTAAACAATCCTTTCATGGCTGGTACATGTACGTGCGCTATAAATGTTAGGCACTATTATTTTCCTTAGGGAGTTTTCTTAACAAAACAGAAGAAAGTAGGGCGCCTGGGTGGCTCAGTTGGTTAAGCGACTGCCTTCGGCTCAGGTTATGATCCTGGAGTCCCGGGATCGAGTCCTGCATCGGGCTCCCTGCTCGGCAGGGAGTCTGCTTCTCCCTCTGACCCTCCCCCCTCTCATGTGCTCTCTCTCATTCTCTCTCTCTCAAATAAATAAATAAATTTAAAAAAAAAAAAAAAAAAAAAAAAGAAGAAAGTAACCAAGATATGGAGAAAGTGCCCTTTAAAAAGCAGCTATTAAAATATAATTACAATCACTGTAGTAAAAGTTGATTAAATATAAAGGGTAGAGAGGAAAAAATAGTTCTTCCAAGGGCAATTTATAAGTTAAATCCTACTTAAAATACGTGCACGAGTTTTACCTTTAATATTAAAAACAAACTTTACTGAAGTCCATTCTCAAAATCTTTCAAGAAAGAAAATGGTTAAGCACTAATGTCACAGTGTTTCTGGATTTCACTATGGGTCAGTCCTAGGTAGATTAAATGACTGCTTAAACACGACTGCCATGGCCACAGTGGTGTGCCTCAATAAGCTGCATCCTAGAATCCAACAAATATTTGGATTTTACTTTAAAATAATTACTAGTATTTTTACTCAAAGATAGCCTTTTTAAAAAGTTACGCAGTAGGAAGCATCCGTGGCACTCTCTCCCTTGCAAGGGACTATATCAAGTTGGAAAGCCAAGCCAGAGTGACAGAACAGAGGATCTTAATAGCTGTGTGACCTTGGAAAACTCACTTAACAGGTCTCTAAAATTCATTATCTCATCTATAAATTGGTGCTAACATCTACCTCTCAGATTTGGAGGTGGTGAAAGAAGGAGGGCAGCAGAGGAGATAAACTAGGATTTATATGAAAATGCTTTGAGAATGGCTCATACACATGTATACATTACTGGTCCTCATCCTCTTCTCCCATAGGCAGTGGGAGGGGAGGCCATGTAGCAAGCTAAGGTTAAACTACAATCTGTGTTGGGGTACATAAGCAAGCCTTGGTCATTGTTCCTTTTTTAGGTTGTTTCTGGAAATGTAAAACCTTATTACAGTCCCAGATTTTGTTTTTTAAATACAGGACTCCAGAGATCACCATAATTCATGAAGACACATTAAGGCCAAGCATCCTCCTGCTTAGCACCCTCAAACTCATAACAAAGTTTTCTTTGAGTTATACCTATTTATATATTTCTTCCCTCCACCAGCACAGACTGAATGCTGCCATAACGTGTGATGGTAAAATGTCTTTAAGAAATCTTTAGAGATATTTTAAAAAATTAATCCTATTTATGTAATCATTATAAAAATCTGTTCTTCCAAAGCTGAAAAGAACTTTGATGAAAATCCCAGTAGTACTCAAAGAAAAAGTTTAAGTTTCAAGCTTGTATCACTTGATACTAGGTGGAGCCTTACAAACTATTAAGCTCATAAAGGAGGAAACTTAATCTATTCTAAGTATGGAAGGATAGAAGTGTCTGGGGCCTCTAAGTATACTCAGTCACATACATTGATCCAGTGTCAAAAGCAGGGTCAAAAAAGGGTTAAAAAAAAAAAAAAAAAGCATGGTGCAACCTCAGCACATCAGGGACATCAAAAATGAACAAAACTGTCACTTTTGTTTCACTACAAACAAACCATCTAAGTAATATCTAATGCATAGAAATAACTGGGAGGAACTTACAAAATGAAAACAAAGTTCAGGAATCTTAACCTTATAATGGCAGTATTTGAAGTCTTTTTTAGAGTCATTAAAAAATAATCCGCTTCAATGAGGTCACATTAAGTCCATTTTAGTTTAGCAATTAAGAGTAATTTGTTTAAATTAGTAAACTTAAAACATTTTCTGGGATTTTTTTTTTTTGCATTTGGATCCTAATCCATCTCTGCCCTATAAATATCACTTATGTGGACACTAATTCAATTTTCAAAAAGAGAATTCTAATAAAACATTTTCTAATTCAGTTAAGAGAAATCCATCACAAAAAGTCACCGTGCTGTTATCACTTTACAAGTATTATCTCATCAGTCCTCCCCATAACTCTAGGAGGGAGGCATTATTATTTCTATAATACCCACTGTGAAGATGAAGAAACTAAGGTTTATAGATATCGAGGAACCTGTTTAAGATCATAGGGCCGTGACTGAACCCAGGTTAATATGCAGTAGGGACTTTCAGTCACATTAAAAATGAGGTAAAAACTAATTTTTCAATGAGCTCCATGTAATAAAGAACATCAAGAATCCTATACATACTAGATTGGCAGCAATTTATAAAAATAGGTAATTCTTCTCTATCTAAACATTTTTATTAAAAGCAGACCCTGTCATGTAGCATTGGACTTCTTTGTTTCCTTTTCCTGTTTTTACATGTACATAAAAATAGTCTTGAGATACCAATACCAAAGTTTTAAAATTTAACCTTCATTTTATAAGCAAACGTCACTATCTCGCATTTAAAGAATATGAAAGAAATGTCTTCTGTAATTGACTCAGGAGCTAAGCCTGCAAAAATGTGAATCTGTGATTTATTCTCCCTCCATGTCCAACACGCCCACCCTCAGAATCAGTAAAAAAACATACCTAACTTCCAGAGAGCAGAGGAGCTACAGAACAGAATTGAGACATTAGACCATTTCTCCTTATTACAATCATTTGGCTGAAGGGACTGGACTAGTAAGGTGTTCTACTGTCCTTTACAAATTTCAGAATTATAAGTGACAGTTAAAAAGGCATTTGCAACACGAGTCCATTGTACCCGAAAAAGCTGAATCAAATAAGAACATTTGTCACGATTACCCGGTCTCAATTTCTAGCTTCTCTGTCAATTACACAAAGAATCAGCTATTAAATATTAATGGCATGCCATTTGCACTGGAGCTCTTGCAAAGAGCCTCCTGCTAGCAATTTTTGTTATGAAAGAAAAACCGTCCTTTTTTTCTAGGTAAACCTCAAGCCTCTAGAATCCCTCAGATGGGCTACCGCATTTTGTCCTACCCACGGGAGGCTGTCAGGGCCACCTCCACATCCTGGGGAGAAAGGGCTCTGGGGAAGGCGGGTCCCCACAGGTATCGGGGCCGGGGTCCCCGTTCCCCTTCTCCCCCAGCTGTCAGCGACAGGTCCGGCGGCGGGGCGGGGCCGGGCCCGACTGTCCGCACAAAGCGAGCGGGCGGGCGGGCGGACCCTGACCGGGACCGGGGTGGGGGCCGAGCGGGGCGGAGCGAGGCAGGGGACACTTACCCAGCAGCAGTACGTTCTTCCCGGCGGGGAGCTTGGAGCGCGAGCGGGTGGAGACCTCGCTGAGGATGCAGGACCTAGCGGGGAGCAAAGGCGCACGCTGAGGCGGGGGACCGGGGCCCCACCGCGGGAGGGACCGACCCGGCCTCGGCGCGCTTGGGCGGGGGCTGCCGAGAACGTAGTGGCCTCGGCAAGGGATCCCGAGGTGTCCGCAGGGCCGGGAGTGTCAGCGGGGACCCAGGGAAGGGTGGGGTCGTTACCAAAGGTTCTGCCCGTCCTCGTCGTCTCCCGCCGCGGCGCCGCCGTTGCCCGATGTTAGCTCGTTAGCCAAGGGGCCCCCTGTGTAAGTCGAGGCTAATCCCGGCGGAGAGGAACCGAAGGAGCCAACTCGCCCCACAGCCGCCATTTTGGTCGGGAATCACACCACTCCCGGCAAAGCTGAATGAGCGAGGCGGCGACGGCGGCGGCGACGGCGGCGGCGGCGGCGGGAACCCGGATATGGAGCATTCGGCACACGGGAGCGGGGCGTGGTCTGCGGGGGCGGAGCCGCGGGCTCTGAGGGGACTGACGGAATGAGGGAGGACGCACCGCGCGTGCGCTGCTGTCCGTCGACCGCGCGGAAGGAATGCGCGTGCGCGGGCAGCCCCGCAGGCGCTTGTGCTGTGTTCCCCGTTCTACAGGACTCAGTTTGAGAAGTCTCTTGCCCCCTCCACCCGCAGCCTTGGGCTGCAGCAGAGCGGGTTGGGGTGTGTCGGGTGAGCAGTGCTCCCTCCCACTCTTCATTCGGGTCTACAAACCCCGCAATCGACTTGGAATTCCTGCACTCTCATTGCCGTCCCACCCCGCACCCCCATTCAGGCTGAGCGGCGGCGGTCCCCCGCCTACACCGGCGCTTCACCCGCGCCGAGATGGAAATGGGCCGCCCCGCTGCAAAAGAGGCTTTGTGCAGCTCGAGTCCGGAGTGTTACTGGGGTCCCGGGATTTCTGGGCTCTCTGCTTTGCATTCTCACGTGGCGCCGTGTTCCTCAGTCTTGGCCCCACATCTGAAGCAGGTTCCCCCGGACCCTAAGTAGCTGCGTGACAGAAAAAGTATTGACGGGGCTTTCTTTAATAATAGCCTCTGTGTTTTCGTATGAGATGCCCCGCGTGAGATTTGACAAGACCCACTAGATGAGTCATCCATACATCCGTTTATTCAGCACTTACTATGGCAGGCACAGTTGGCACTGGGCATACACAATGGAAAAGAACCTAAAGTAGCCCTAAAATAACTCTTTTTCTATCAAAACTTGACTGGTTAAATTGATTTGAACGTCTGAGCCCCACCTCCAGAAAGAGTTGATGGTTTTTGTTTTTGTTTTTGTTTTTGTTTTTAGATTTTATTTATTTGACAGAGCACAAGCAGGAGAAACAGCAGAGGGAGAGGGAGAAGCAGGCTCCCCACTGAGCAGGGAGCCCGATGCGGGGCTCCATCCCAGGACCCTAGGATCATGACCTGAGCTGAAGGCAGACGCTTGACCGGCTGAGCCACCCAGGCAACCCAAGAGTTGATGGTTTTGAGGCTTGTCCTAGTGCATCTTGTCAGAGCCTTTGCTTAAAATAGTGTGTCCCTTTGTACATTATTGCTGTCGTATTTGAAGATCACTAATCTAATATGTGATCTGATCATTGCTGTTAGGCTAGTGAGAAAATCCATAGCTAAAGACTTTTTTTACAGGTTAACAGTGCAGGTAGAAGCCTAGAAGGCTTTGGAGGCTGGCAAATCTGAGTTGAGATTCAGCTCTATCAGCAACCATAGACCATTTCCTTAACCTCTCCCGAGTCTCAGTTTCCTTATCTGTAAGATGGAGATAAAAGGACCCAGAATTTTTATGGAGATTACATGGGATGATTCTTGTAAAATGGCTTAGAACAGTGACTGACAAATCTTGAGTGCTTGATACACGTTTATTTTTAATGACTAATGTTTTCCTTTACCGTTCAAACCATTCATATCTGACCAACCCCTAGAATTGATAGGCCTAATGAACTCCTGCAGCTAAAACTCTTCATTTTTTGTTAGTTTGTTTATATGGTTAGGAAAGGAACCAGAACCCAGTCTTGGGATCCCAGGCTTTCTTTGGTGACACGCGTCGCAGGATAGGGACTTCTGGGGGAACCTGGGTATTTAAGTCACTGCTATAAAGGAGAGCTGTTTACTGCCCTGGGCCCCCCTCTGAGAGTTGATTCACTCTGTACTTTACTCCCTCAGTCATCTTTTCTTGTCAGAGCATTGTTTTCCCCAATTTTGTTTGTATGCAGAGTTGTTAGTTCCATTATTATATTTACTTAACCTGGGAAGTATTAACTTTATAATGGTGTCAGGCTTCTAATGCCCCATGACTTTTAGATGTCCAGCTACCCACTTATACCGAGGTCAAAGTTGTATTACTTGTGGTTTTATAATATTCCTTATCCAGCATTGTTCTATTAAGATGGCTGACAAAAGTGGTTATTTATGATACCTACTAAGTGTCAGGCACACTATATGTTATGGTTTGTAATCCTCATACTTTGTAAAGAATCAGTGAAATTAAGTAATTTACCCCACAGGTTGAAAGTAGATAATTGAGATTTTGACTTTCTAACCTGTCAAAGGGCCTAGGTCAAATGACATTAGAATAAATGTCCTGGCAACTTTTGATACTGTTATGGTAAATATCTTCTATAAAAATCTCTACGTAACAAAAATAGAGAACATTTGTAGTATGAGGAAATCTATAAAAGGAAAGATTCCAGCAATCCCTTGGAATTTTTGTTATATAAATGCTACTTACAATTGAGCTATTTCCTATACTATGATTACTTTTCTTTCTTCCCCAACTTTTTGTTACATCCAAAATTAACAACTGTCTTGGTTTTTCATTTGCTTAGATTTCTATGCCCTTAATTCTCATTCAGTCTCAAATTCTTGTCCCAGTTGTTTAAAACCTCTCATTAGGTATTTGAACAATTTCATCTTAAACACATCTTTAAGAACTTTCTTTCTGCTTCAATTTGAATTGGTTCTTCTGTGTGCCTAATACAGAACTGTCATCATGGGATCTTCTCTCACCATTGTTCTGGGGGATTTCCTTTGCCTCATTCCTGTGCCTTCTCTTATTTTAGTGGAGAACTTCCTCAAATAGTTTTGTGAAAAAGGGTGTATGGTTACATTTTTGGAGATACCCAGCCAGGGTCTAGCTAGGGAAAAAATGGCATTCTTGAGGCAGTGCGAGATGAAAGCTCAACAACTATTTACAAAGGTGTGAACAGTATTGAGATGGGGGTAGGAAGACCAGGAAGATTTAGACCTGAAGGGGAAAGAGGAAGGAGTGTTTACTAGAATCCAGAAAGAGTTGCAGTTGTAGGAAAGAATTTCTCAATAAGGTCTGTGACTTCAGTAAAGGAACACAGCACTGACTTCTCTCTTTCTCCCCCCGGTATCTTGCCAGTGTCTCATGTTGGCCAAACCCAGCCAGAAGCTGGAGGACAAGAGAATTCAAGTGAAGCAGTCCATGCAGGTCTACCTCCCAGAGCAAAAAGAAGGATAGAGAAGAGAGGAAAGTAGATCTGTAGGGGCAAACGGAAGATATCCAGCACACATTACATGTTTGAAAGTACATTTAGTCTATACTCAGTGATAGTTTGGCTGAGTATAGAGTTCTTATGTTGCAGATTATCTTCCCTTAGGTTTTTTGTTTGTTTGTTTGTTTTTAATTTTTATTTATGAGAGAGAGAGAGCACAAGCAGGAGGAGTGGGAGAGGAAGAAGCAGACTCTCCGCTGAGCAGGGAGCCCGATGTGGGGCTCGATCCCAGGACCCTGAGATCATGACCCGAGCCAAAGGCAGACACTTAACTGTCTGAGCCACCCAGGCGCCTCTTCCCTTAGGTTTTTACCTTGACCCCTTGTCTGCTGGATTCTAATATTGCCACTGAGAAATTCAAAGACATTATGATTCCTAATCTTTTGTTATATGTTCTTCTTTTCCCCTCTTTGGAGGCCTCTAGAACTTCCACGGATTTTCACTAACACATTTACCCCTCCCCCCGTCTGTAGTTTCATACCAATTTTCCTCCCAATTATCACAGAAGAATAATCTATACTCTTAAACTAAAGCAATCTTTCCACTTACACATTAGATTCCATCTCTTCTCCTCAACTCTAGGACATTGCTCCAACAATTCTCCCCCCTTTCTTTATATAATCATTTATTGATCTCCACTAGATCATTTCCCTTGCATACCAACATGCTATTCTCCCATTAAAAAAAAAAAAAGAAATCTCTCTTAATCCTACTTCTTCACCAGCTACTGCTACATTTCTTTCTTCTCTTTGACAGCAAAACTCTTTTTTTTTTTTTAAAGATTTTATTTATTTATTTTGACAGAGAGAGACACAGTAAGAGAAGGAACACAAGCGGGGGGAGTGGGAGAGGGAGAAGCAGGCTCCCCGCTGAGCAGGGAACCTGATGCAGGGCTTGATCCCAGGACCCCGGGATCATGTACTGAGCCGAAGGCAGACGCTTAACGACTGAGCCACCCAGGTGCCCCATACAGAAAAACTCTTTAAAATAGTTGTCTTTATTTGGTGTCTTCAATTCCTCCTTCCCCTTACCCTTATAACCCACTTCAGTCACTTTTACCCCTCTGACTCCACAGAGACTGCTTTTATACCTGTGATCAATAACCTCCTTTTTGCTAAATCCAGTGGTAAATTCTCCATCCTTGTCTTTCTTAACCCATCAGCAGCACATGGTACTCCTTGTGGATATCTGTCTTCACATAGCTTCCAGGTCAGCATGTTCTCCTGGTTCTTTCCCTACCTCACTAGCTGCTCCTTCTCAGTCTTCACCATTTCCTCATTTTCCTGACCACTTAATGCTAAAGGACTGCAGGGCTAGGTCTTTGTTCCTCTTCTCCATCTATACTCCCTTGGTGATCTCATCCAGTCTCATTACTTTAAATCTCAAATGTATGATAAAAACTCCCAGATTTATCTCTCTAGCCCAGAGCTCCATGTGAAACTCCATATTTATATATCCAACTGCTTATTCCACATCTCCACTTGGATATCTAAGCACGTTTCACACTCAATGTGTTCCAAGCTGATATTCTGACCTTCCCAAGAAAAGGCTCCTCAACCCCAAGACCTTCCCACTGGGTAGCAACTCCTTTTTGCCTGAGTCATTCTTGACTTCTCTATTTTTCTCACACCCCACATTGAATCCATTAGGAATCCTGTAGTCTCTACCTTCCAAATATACCCACAATCCAACTTCTTATCACTCATCCACTGATGCCACCTTGGACTAAGCTATCGTCTTTGCCTAAATTACTTTTTTTTTTTTTAAAGATTTTATTTATTTATTTGACAGAGAAAGACACAGCAAGAGAGGGAACACAAACGGGGAGTGGGAGAGGGAGAAGCAGACTCCCTGCCGAGCAGGGAGCCTGATGCGGGACTCGATCCAGGGACTCCAGGATCATGACCTGAGCCGAAGGCAGTCGCTTAACCAACTGAGCCACC